ACATCATCAACCGAAACATAAAACAATCTCGCCTGTGCTGGTAATTTGCCAGGCTCAACTCGGTGTATCAAACTGATATTGTGTAGTGCGTAACTTATTCAGCCTTCAAAACTTCGAATTCAAGTGGTTCCTTGACCTGGCCTAGTATATAATATCTAAAGCCTAAACAAGTAAAATTAGTGATGCAAATATGTTAGACAGAGATATTGACAGAACACTAAAGGGCTGTCGTGTGTATTAACCTAGTGTCCATGTATCAAACTAAGATGCTTCCTTGTGGCCGTGTAGTTTGTCAGGTTGGCGCTAAGGTAGGGAGAATCCTCGTTCTTATTAAGTGCCTTGTTAATGACCACATCAATGGAGACTGTCTCATGATTAGTCCTTTATATTAATGCTGAGATACGGACCTTTTAAACTAAAAGCTAATCATATTATGTCAAATAGTTCGTGTTGTTTTCACTACAATCCGATTACGACTGTGTTGTTAGAATATCGTCACAATGTTCTTTAATTCTCCAGGCGGTCAGAAATGCATTCGCCTTTCTCACTGCCAGTCGCTGCATATAGAATGCTCTCCTTGAATTCGTGGTCGCAACCCTGTCAGTGGATACCTTCAAGTTGATACTGGACACACATTTACTCACCCACAGATTTTCATCCTCCATTTTGACCATCTGTGTCTGATTCATGCCTCATGATTTGCGTGCTGTCTTTTGTTGCCTCATACTAGTGACTAATTTCAGTTTTGCTCATTGTCATCTGAGTTTCTCTCTCGTTCTTACGATTCTGTTATCCTACAATTTATGCATTACCAAGTAATTGACTTATTTTTATGTTCATTTCTTGAAATAATAGGTTTATTTTAGCAATAGAATTATCACTTCATTATTTTCATATTGCAATCAACTGTTTTACACAAGCAAATGAAAAACATATTGAGCAACGGATTTTTGAGGAAAGTATATTGTTTAATGAGCAGTTGATACGTAAGCCCGCTCATTATTGAACTGAAGGTTGTATCAATGGCAACCATATAGGGTGGGCACAACGTTTGATTTAGAATTGTTGATTGATTGATTGACTGGGTTAATATCTTTCATTGAGCAGTTGCAGTTTATCGGAAGCCAATTGAGCTGAGAATTTATAAATATCTTTGGGAGTTTAGCTCAACGGAGATTCCATCCGTCTGGTCGAGTTGTTCATTTCATTTTTGGTGAACCTCTAAAACAAGCATTTGTATCTCAGTGTGCCTAGATCAACGGTAATGGTGTCAAACGTAAGGTGTTAACCTGGAACTGAAGCTAAAGTCTGGTACCATAGAACAAAAACTGTTTGATATCAGTGCTGAGATAAACAGTCAGCTGGACCACAAATCCAACCCACCTAGAAAATAGCTTTCAAGCAAATCTTATTTTCTTTATGGGATTCAGAATGTCGACAATGCTCAATGAATTTTCCTAGGCACCCTAGAGTGTCTACCACAAAGGTAGCTCCTTTCTAGAGAATGGTTAAAAGAGCTAAAACTCTCAGTATTGATATTCTACCATCAAAAACATAAATGTTCAGTTTACTGAAATGGGTTCAGTATTCAGACCTGTTAAACACCTTGTTTTGTAAAAAAAAGCTTCATTATCCTAGGCAAAGTGAAGGAGAAAAGTCAGCTGCTTTCATTGGACGTTTTCATGTACTGGAAACATCTGGAAATTTCAGTGGTGTATAACGCTTTAAAGAACCGTAGTTCTGGGCCACCTTCAGAAATAATTGGAGGTGTGAGTTGGTAAGGTAGTTGTCTATGGCCCTTGTGGAAATTCTTCATAATAATAATAGAGTTATATTTTTGTTACGAACCACACTATTCTAGACAACTAGTAATTCCACAGTCTATAGTCTGTGGTGTCTTTGGCATAGTTCATAAAAACTTGGGAAACGGAGGCCAAATAAAATGTCGGAGGCAGTCAAACGTAAATATTGGTGGCCAAAACAAAGGGAAATCATACAGAATTGTGTCAGAGCTTGAAAAATTTAACAAATGACCAAGGGCTCAAAGGCAACCCGCACACACCCTTAGCAATTGTGAAACCAGGTTACCTCGACAAGATAGTGGGAATCGATATTATTGGGACATTACGAGAAACCAACAGGAAAAACAATCACATTCTGATTATGGTTGATCACTTTACGAATTAGTATGAGGCAATTCCCCTATGTAGTATAGATACTCAAACTGTCTACCGGACATACACTTAATTTGTTATAGATAAAAAGAGGTGTGAGGCCTCCAGCTGGATTGTTGACAAAACTAATGCATCAAAAACCTTTATTGGAGTGAGACACTGTCGTGAAGCTTCGAGAGGATGTTTCGAAGTGTCATGATATGGCTTGCGTACAGTTAGGTGTGACGCAAAAGCATCAGAGAAAGTACTACAATAAGAAGACTTATGGAATAATCTTACAACCAGGAGAAAAAGTATGGTTAAAACCAGACGACTCACCGGCAGGGACACTTACTAAACTACTTATGAATAGGTCCTTATGAAGTAACTAGAATCTTAACAAAATCTACGTGTGAAATCAAAGACATCAGAGGCGACTCTTGGTACCTATGGTCGTTCATTATGATTGCCTAAAACCGGCGTATGACTACATAGAATATATGATTAACCAAAATTTGCACCTAAGTTAATTTTTTAAAAAATGATTTACGATTATGTTCTGTTTAATTTGTTACAGATCCCAAAGTGAGGGAGGAAAAATACTTAGTATCCTGGTGTTATTTTATATTACGTTTTGTGTCTCGAACTGTTGTACAGTCTGGCATTCTTGTCAAATTACTGATTCTGTGTTCCTGTTGAAATATTATCGTACTCTTTTTGGATTGTCGTTTCTTTTCCTACTTTGAAAAAGACTTTGGAAGGAAAATCAATTTCTTTTGTGGAGATTATTGAAAGCCATCGAGGACAAAGTTTAAAGGAGTCAGAAGCAGTGTAATATTAACGACACGGTAATATAAAAACATCTGATTTAATATTATTGATTGATTAGTTGTATCGGTATCTTTAATTGAGAGTTCACAGTCAGTTGAAAGCTAAATGAACATAAGATCTCTTCGGGGGGCTTACTCTAACGGCAATCCCAGCCAACCGACAGAGCTGCTCATAACCAGGCTTTGGCTATTTCAAATCAGCCTTCATTTTGTTTCTCGCTTGCATCAAGTAGCTTACCTGGTCATAGACTCACTTTAATATCAGTAGCTTATTTATTTAACCTTATTTCCATACTAACTACCTGGGTTTTCAGTATGTTAGGAAAAGAATCATTTCTTTGCAATAAAGCAAAGTTACTTATTTTAGAGGATAATACTAGAGCTAACCTATACAGTTATTTCTCCTTAAAGTAATTTAGTTAAAGGAACCACATCGTCCGCCCAAGGTGTCTGACAACCCCAGAGATACCTCTGGAGTTCATAATATTGTGATCCAGCAGATTAAAAGCTAAAACTGAGAAAAGTTTTGACGAAGTCTAATTTTATAGTTCCGGCCAAACGCATCGGTTTATTTCAGAAAGCGTGTAGATAAAGACCGAGATCACGTTTTAGTTGAATACAAAAAGTACTACAACATGCACAATTCGAATTGGTCTACAAACACTAATTGTAGACACATCATCGGCTTGTGTTAATTACGACGAATTTTGTTTGTTACTAGCTGTACGATCTCTCACGTACGACTTGAGCATCGCATGCGCTTAGGTCTACATGTAAATAGTTTTTGTCGTTCTAAACCAGGAAAATAGGCCTCATTGATTAAAACTCCAGGTTCATAGTATTAACTAAAGCTTAGTTTTTCATTCAGATTCTATTTGCAGTTGTAGTGACTCTCCATTCGGCTGTTTGTGTAGTGGAATCTAGTTTTTGAGGTTTACATGGTACAGGTGCAGCGATAATTTTAAACAAAAAATTTATTGAATTGATTTGAATATTCTTTATGCTGTTCACTTAAACTTACGTGATGAAAACCTTAGAAAAACTAGCAAATGCTTTTTAAGAAGGAGGTTTTGTAGAGATTTTAGTAATTTGATAGTTGAATTCATGAGTCAATTGAAGCTAGAGGACCATGGAAAACCTGGAAGCACTGGAAGGCCGTTTCGTCGTAGTATGGTACTCCCCCGATAGGTCCTGGATTCGAATCCTGCGGGCGGGATCGTGGATGCGCACCGATGGGGAGCCCCATATTAGGACGAAACGGCTGCCAGTGCTCCCAGGTTTTCCATGGTGGTCTATCTTTAACTGACTCATGAATTCAACTATTAAAATACTTTTTCGTTTATTGCCTTGGCATTCTAGTTCTAGCAAAATGAAAATTTAGTCCTTTTAAAATCTCCCAAGTATTTTGTACAAGGAAAAGGTACATATCCAGTATTTTCAGTAAACAACTCCACTCCCAACTAGAATATTTAGTTCAAATATCAAGACTTTTACATAACACCCATAAGTATCTAGATTGATCTGATAATTAATATATTTCACATACTACATGGTAAACATATCACAATATGTTTGTGATTACTTTTCCCGACTTCTGTTATACATACTAATAAAGTTTCTGAATCAATAGAAAGGATTAGCTTTAAATGTCTCAAACCAGGCTATCCTCTGGTAAGATGACAATGACTTCTTACAATCAATCTGCTTTTCGGCATTTGCTTAAGCGAGCTATCTACTTGGACCACTATTTTCGCAAACTTAGTATTAGATGTACCTGTTATGACAAACAAGTTAGTGATTTAATTATATCACAAGTAATATAGGCTCCGTAACCTTTTATTTTCGGTTTGCTTGTGTACTAAGTGTTAAGAGTCAAGTGTAGTTAAAAAATTCCGTAGGGTATCAATCACCAAACATCTTAGTTAAGTATTTCTGTATATTAATTGAATAAATACATCACTTCCCTCTTTTCTAGATTCACTCGAACTTTTGTGTTAACGACTAGCTCTGCTTCTCAATGGTCACTAGTCGACTGTATTTTGTATTGTTTGTTTGCATTTCGAGTGCATTTACTTCTGGTAAGCAAATTTATGTTTTACAGTTGTTTTTAACTACAGGTTAACTGGTTTTAAATTTAACCGAGAAAAGCAACAACAATCATTAAAACACATTTTGGTGTGGCAATTACAAACAAAATATTACTAGTACTGAATACTTAATCGGAGAGACTAATTTATGGACGAACCAATCAGATTTAGGATAACAGGTATTGGATTTTGGCTCGAAATTCATCCACCCATTCGTCTAAATAGCGTCTTAGCACTTTAGCTTATGTCAGTTCGTGATGAAAACCATAAATTTAAATCATAACCCTTACCATCAACTGTAAATTACTATCTTTATTCCTCAAACTGCTTTATAGCCTTCATTCAGCCTTATTAAGTAGGTAGACACTCAAGATCACGTTGGCGTCACTCAAAGGTCGTCCATAAATTATAGTCTCATCACTTAATCCTTCAAAACAATAAGTTGTCCATTTTTCTTGACTACATTTGCTTATACATGGGGAACTGCGCTTTTGACAGAATTAGTATATACAATAACCCAGCAATTTAAAAAAATACTAGAAAACAACTAGTTCTATCCTAAAACATATATTTTCCCATATTTATTCACTTGCTTTTGTTGGTGAAAATTTCATTATTCCGATGAAGAATCTATATCAACTGAAGAGGCTGAGACTTGCTGAATGTGGGTGAACATTTCCTACGTCGACACATAATGTTTTCTGATGTATTAATAGTTTCCCAAGGAACTTAGAGGCTTACAAACCAAAATGTGGTATTTACCCATGAAGTTATTGACAATTAATGTGATCCATGCTTTTCTGGTTACAGTTCTCATGCGTATCACGGCCAGTGCTTGAAGACTGATTAACATAATTCAGAATCGGTCGCGATAGCATAAATGCATTCACTCTTTACTTTCCTTTAAATGTAAAGTTTCAAACTATTTTATATCTTTTATTCCGTGACTTCATCGATTTTCCTTCAATCAAATTGTCAGTGCCTAATTTTTTATCACTGAAACTACTGCTTCTATCGCTTGTTTATTCATCTTGATAATTTAATCCTTCTGTTTTAACGTGATGTGGTGATTTGAACAGATGGATATATGTAACGGGTTCTATTTTGTTTATAAATGACCGACTTTCCAACCAGGATATTTTTACAACACCTCAGATATTATACATTTATTCTGAGTATTCAGCTAAGAGAGTATGTTCAAAAATTTATAGAATATGTGACCGTTTCTTTGAAAGATGTCTTCAAGGATCCCATTATTTAATCATTTGTTATTATATACGTGTTTTAACTTGTAATTCAAGCACAAACTGCTTATAATCCTAAAAAGAGGTTTTGACATGTTCAATATCCAAATGGTTTAACATTAATTAATATAACTTGAAAATAGATTATTTCCATACATAGTGTTATAACTGTTTTGATTGTATCAATCTTATTTATGTAGGATTAACATTTGGATTTTCATCAGCAACTACACTTCAAATTTATTTCGACTCTACTTGGATAGCAGTTTTTGCTGGTTTATTAAATGCAGGTGGAATAATTGGATCTTTGTGGTCAACGTGGCTTATTCGTCATTATGGACATTGTCTTACATTATTGCTTTCTTATGGTCTATCTGTCATAGGATGGGTGTTACTGTATTTTTCATCGTCAGCTGTCTACGAACGATATTCACCAACTGTTCAATTAGTATTAGGACGTCTAATAACTGGTTTAGGATGTGGATTAACTTTAACTACTAATATAATTTATATCTATGAGATAATTCCATCGTCATGGAAAGTATTGATGGGATCATTGTTTCAAGTTGGTATAACATGCGGAATTGTTGCTGATTATGCACTTGCAATTTTTTTAAACTGGGATACTATTTCTTTGGTTTTCGCTTTGGTTATTTCATTTGTTGCCGTTTTAACTTATATGTTACCCGAATCTTCTGAATGGTGCGTTAAAATGGGTAATTTGCAATCAGCTGAAGCACCTCATTATTGGTTGCATGGAAACGTAAGTGACTGTTAGGTCTACAAATTTGTTTAAAATAAATAATGTTCTAAAAATATTATAATTACAGTGTAATGGATAAAGTTTGATTGTATACATCTCATAATTGACAGTATTACACTTTTGTGCAACTGTTTACTTAGTTTTTTGGCGTCTATTAAGTAAACCATAATGGACAAATATTTTTGAGATGCAACTATAATCATGAAATTATTGATCAAATAATGACTTCATTGTTGAGTATCTAGTTTTCTTCGAGCATCTCGTGTTGAGATAGAGATCATCTAATGTTATCGATGAATGAAAACCTAACCATTACAATCGTTCTTGTCTCTATACCTATGCAATCCAAAGCGTATAGTCGAAAAAAAGTTTGCACTATTAACTTATTCTCGGGTACCCGGGTATGAGTGGCGCTCTAAGTGTAAGGGGGCCAGTAATACTCACCCAGCTGCTCAAAATGGAATAGTTGGTGATGAGTACAGTCAGTCTATAACAACGTCTGAAACTGTTTACTGGATTGTTTTCTTTATTCTCTCTCTCTCTCTGTAAAAGTGTTAGTTTCCTTTAAGGGTCCACTATTTTCTGTAATTTCAACTTTATCTCTCATAAAAGTTATTTGCGCAAACGCTGGTGTAAAACAGAATAAAGCTAAAGAGAATCATATGTAATTGAATCTGTGAATGTAGTTACCAAAGTATATTTCGAAAAATCTTTCAAAGTTAACATATATATATATATATATATATATATATATATAATCTTAATTATATTTATGAGCATAGTTTAGCATTTAATGTGGTTGCTATTTTAGTTATACACATTTAAAATGGTTTAGTTAATGTTTGAAATATCACGGAAGTTCATAGTTAATGTTTAAAATAAGAAGAAAAAACTGATGTTATTGTCAAATTTTTTTTATATTTCAATTTAGGAGATACCTTTTAAACAAAATGGGAATAATTTAATGATCAATGGAAATGTTCCTCATGATATATCAGATCTTAGCACAAAGTCATACACTGGTTCTTTTCATGTACTGAATGATTCAAAGTCTAAGCTTCGTACGATTTTTATATTAATAACATTTCAACAATTAACAGGGATGAATGCTATAATCTACTTTGCTGAATCGGTTTGCCTATTTGGTGGGCTAGTATCATATCAATGTGGATTCAACACGGGATTGTGTCTATTTATTTCTAGTATTGTATCAGTATTTGTGGTTAGAAAATTCTCCTGGAAAAAGCTACTACTAGTTGGTGCTGTAATTCTGGCTTTATCCCATCTATGGTTCTCACTAACGGTATCAGTGAGTGACCAGTTTATAGAATATAATGTCGTTCTTTTTTATTTATTATTTATGATCTTTAAGAAATCTTTGTCATAGAGTAACAGTGGTACTGTCAAATTAATCAAGTTGTTAGTTAACGTAGTGGATCTAGTTAAATATCGTCAGAATTCAGTCCTTTCATTTTTTTCTGATATCCATGATATTATTGCGTAAACGAGTTTTCTTATTATGAACTAAGATAGATAGTGGCTAACAGCAGGATCCAGGATGTGCGTTTCGTTCTATTCAGAACTTGTCATCTGGATTCACTTGTATCCTGAGGTTGATGTTCACTCCGGGACTCGAATTCAGTGCCGCTTACTTTAAATATTGTCGCATTATCCACTTAGCTACCGATTTCAGATAGCCACTAGTTTGTGCAAGTACATCCAGCTGACGAGTCAAAAATGGGACGAAACACTTTCCAGATACCATCCGTTTTTGCTTAGAATACTTGTGACTTAATAGCAATATGGAAGCAAACCCAAACGACTAATCAATTTTAGTCCTAAAAATCAATGAAAAGATTCAAATAACCAATACAAATAAAGTCTTCTCATTATTCATACGTAAATATACCATACTGGCGGTGGGGTTTGGAAGCGAAATATGCCTACGGATACATTACATCCAGTATTAATGTACCAGGATAATGATGTTAAGCATAGAAGGAAAAGAAATATTGGTCTACTTGACTTGATTCTGCATTAGTCATACACTTTTGAGAAGTTGAGGAGAACATGTAAAAATTCTTGAGTCGTACTTATCCTTGATTTATGTATATGTGAACATATAATTCTTCATCAGACAAGGCGGCCTGCTTGAGCATCTGGGCTACCTGTTCCTGCCATCTAGATATTTCGACAAGTTATCTATCTTTGTTTGTTTTAATATATCATTATGTCTATTAACCGCACAACCTATTCTGCTGCGTTTCTGAAAAGTGTACAACCTTTCGTTGTCAAAGTTACAAAAAGCTCAAAAAGAGAGAATATTGTTGCTGGCAATATACAACGAAAAGAATGTACATTATTCAGATATTCATTTACTGGACTGTTAACATCTAGCTGGCGATCACTCAGTATTTATCGCGAGGACCGACCAAGAAGAAAGAAACGGAAACTTGTTGAAATATCTTGTGCTGAGAATTCTATATTGTACCAATAATATAATATTGAATAAAGCTAATAATAATAATAATAGAAATTATTTAATACATCTGTGGTATATGCTATTTATGTTGACGAATATAAGCAGTATGTAGCAGTAACTGAAAGTGAAATATTTGCCAGCAAAAGATTGAATTGAAAAGAACAGGAATGGAAACAGAGAGCAAAAGGAATAATGATCGAATTGGAAGAATCATGAAGTATGTAAAGGACAACTGAAGGAAGACGTGCAAATAATGTATCCAATGTATGATTTTCAAATTCTCCAAACCACTGTGTAATTTTAGTTTTCCTCACCTGCGTTTTCGTGCACTTCACATCTAACATCCCCTTTTGATCCTCTGTTAGAATAAATCGATTAACAACAAGAGAGTATAATCTTTAATAAAATGTCCTTTTCTTCAGTCAAATAAACGTGGATGCAAGTTTCAACGGAAATCAGTGTCGGATGTGTGGCAGTTGTTTACCGAAGACAATGGAAGATTGTCGCGCAGTATCATGAACCAGTTGAAGTTAGACATTAACACCATTGAATACCACCGATTCAGTGGTCTAGAGACTAAGCGTTCGCGCGCGAGACTGAAGGCCCTGGGTTTGAGTACCATGCTCGTGGTCGTGTATGAGCACTACTGAGGAGTCCCATGCCAGGACGAAACGGCCTTCCGGTACTTTCAGGTTTTCAATTGTGGTCCAATATTGACCGATTCATGATCTCAATCAAAACTCAATAATCTTCACAACCCTATACTGAAATTAAGTAATCGAATAGTTTTGAGGAAGCATATTTTACATTGTTTTCTATATTTTACTATTCTAACTTATTTACTGAAGGTTCCTTCTCTTTACCACAGTAATCAAATTTTGTCGATATAAAAATGTACAACGAATATCGTTCGTAACAGATAACTTTCATTCAGAAAATAATGATCTAGTCTAATGTTCCCGTATTTTTGATACAATATTATTGTAAAATTCTTATTAATTACGATTGATGTCACATAGCCAATGTCTTTCTATTTCATTCAGTGAGAAATATTTAACTATCGACTTAAAATGGACAATTTGACAATATTTCTTAAGAGTCATATATATAAGTTAGTGTACATATGTTTCTTCATTTAATTAACGTAATAAACTTCCTCCCTCACTCTCCATCTTTTCTCTCTCAAGTGATCAAGTTTTTATGTATCAGTATCAGCTGCTAGATATTGTGTCACAAGAGTGGGGAGTTGAATCGGTGCACAAACATATCAGGTTTTACGTTGCTTGTATCTGAATGACTGATTTTAAGTAATATAGTCTGTTTAATCAACTAAGCTGGGAATAAGGATCTATTTATAACACTAATCTTTTTTAATCGGAAAATTTTGACCATCACACTATGGCCTAGCTATCTAAAGATGTATAGTCCTCATCGCGAGGTCTGGAGTTTCTAGGTTTTAAATCGTGTAGAGTTTTAGGTATGAACTGCATCGAAACACCTATCTAATTATCCTTGACTTTATTCAGATCTCTAGTTGGCGTCGATTTTTCATGACAACTTTCTCTAAACTATCCGAATCTCCTCAAAACATCTAAGTAAATTATATATCCAACTTTCAGAAGGCCCCCAAATGCCCTGGTATGGCTGAGAGTGAGACGGGCCTGCCCTCCCTCTCGAAATGCTCTCACACGGCCACGCGTATACAGCCTCTGCCAAAGAAGTCCTACTCATTGCCTTCTTTCACCACGGGTGTTGTTTACAAAAATGAGAGGACGAAAAGTGAATGTCTGGCGCTTTAACCGGATTCCAAACCAATGGTGCACATGGGCTCCAGTATCTTGCGGGAACAAATGGCGTATGAACTAATCGTTGGTCACCGGCTACCATGGGGCGGCATCTCCTCACGATGCTCCACTGCCGTGTGGATCAGACCTTTAGGTCGAAGTCTCGAGGTGTGGACCCCTTAGAAAACCACCTACTTCGGTTTGGGCACCCGGGCAGTATTCCAGCCCTCACACAAATCTAATGATTTATGTGGTGCATATCTACTTGGTGCCTCCTTGTACCAATGTTTATGTGTTTAAATAAATAAAGAAAGAACTTTCAGAAGAGACTCTGATATTAACTTCTATGAGCCAAACATTCATCTAAAAAATCATAGCAGTCGGTATAAGTTGATGATTTCTGAAATTACTGTATTTCTTCTAAACATAAACAGTTCAAATCTCAAATAAAAGCATCATATGATAACCAGAGAATCGTTCAATTTGTAATCGAATTGGGATTACCAATTGTAGCGTGGCGTCGAGTTGAGGTTAACTATGAACACCGCTACCAAGAAGCACGTGCCAGATAAATCAGAAGCTCGTTAAAATGACTCCATAAAATCCCCGAGAAGCCGAATACCAGAAGGCAATTAATGGACCAAGTCGAGGTTTATTTGCTGGCGATCTCGTGGTATCGAAAGGATACCGAGATCGTGCCAGGATACAAGCTTGGTTACAGAAGGTAACCGAATTCGCGCGAAGTTATAATCGAAGTGTGTGTAAAAGAATGGAAGCACAAAATAGCTGTCATTAGCACAGTCAAACAAAAGCACATTAAAACAAACACTGGTACAGTTGGTTATAATAATAATTGTTTTTATTAAACCAGTCGTGTTCTCGTGATAAACGTGAGTCACTACAAATTCTTAAATTTTCATGATCATTCACCTTTCTTCATGTGTACTATATACCTTTCCAATGAAATAAACTTAAATTTTACTCAATCAATTCCATTTTCCTTTCTTTTCTTTTTTTTAAAAATTCATTTATAGCAAACTGAAACTCCAATGTCTTCAATGCATCAAGTTTATTTAATTGTATTGGTTATAACTTTTACATGTAGTTGGGGTCCATTACCATTATTAATAGCATTAGAATCATTTCCAATTATTAATCGAAATTATGTTATTAAATCATCTTTAACAGTTGGTTGGACAGTTTGTTGTTTTGTTACATTTATATTTGAACCATTTATATTATGGACAAGTGTATCAGTTTTATTCGGTATATTCTCATTATGTTGTTTATTATCTTGTGTTTATGTTTATTTTCATATTCCTGATATGAAATCAATGAACACCACCTAATATGTGTTTACCTTTTCTTGGTTAATATCATACTAGTAATGGTAATAATAATAATTCACATATTTAAAGTGAAAATTTTCACTGATATATATACATATGAACACTTCACTGTAGTTTTGTTCATTTATTATGTTGGTTAACCGTGACAGCAATTATTTTGTTGATTGTACTGTAGTGTTGGTTACTATTATTGTTAAGCCCAAATAACTTATTCTAGCTCTTGTACAAACTAATTTATCTATTCTTCTTTGAGTCACATTTTAACTTTGCTAATTATTTACTTATCACAACCCTGCCTGTTTTTATATGAGCACTATGTGTGTACACACATCTTATCCTATATTCATCACATGTCTGTAACTTATTTTTGTTGGACTATAAAAATATTGATTACCGCTTGGTAAAAAGGGAGTTGACAAATACGCCTTCTCCACTGCGTGTCCTTTCGTTTCATCCCACTCATTTCCTGTTCACATCAGTGAGTGTACAAAATATATGTATTTAACAATCTATCCTCGTATTCGACTTATTTAGTTCCGTTATTTAAGTTGATAGTTATACACGAGACTAGTTAGGATGTATATATTTCGGCAGTAATCATTCAATAACAATTATCTGTCCGATCTAACTAGAGTCAGATCCTAGGTCACTAAAGTACACAAGTTTTCTTCGTATCTAAATCGATGAAATTCCTTTCTTCGAAATAGAAAATTTATCAATTATATATCTCTCTCCCTGTTTCTCTTTACACTTTTTACAACCAATCTCTGAATTGATATTAAATTCTCTTCATTATCTACATATAAATTTAATAGAGTATATATCATAGTACTTAGTTAAGTCACAGTAATTGTATTTTATATATTCATCATCTTGGCAGTTATTCTAGTGTAAGTTCTTTTAAATAATAAAACATGAGTAATACATAAGTAAATAATTAATTTCACAGGTTGAAATCATGAGCCAGTTGAAGCTAGACCACCATTGAAAACCTGGTAGCACTGGACGGCCGTTTCGTCCTAGTACGGGACTCCTCAGCAGTGCGCATCCACGAACCCGCCCCCCGCGGGAGTCCCATACTAGGACGAAACGGCCGTCCAGTGCTTCCAGGTTTTCAGTGGTGGTCTAGCTTCAACTGGCTCATGATTTCAACCTGTGAATTTTTCTAAAAATCTCCACAAAACTCATTCTGGAAATAATTAATTTTAAAGTTTTCACTACTGTTATATCCTAGTGAAGATTAAATTACAGGTAACTTCCGAGGGCTATTAATGGACTAATATTCTTATTGTATAATTATTCAGTAGTTAGATTATGTATATTTATATTCCCCTTATTATAAGCTTCATTTTGACCTATAATTTATTATTATACGATTTACTGTCCCTAAATTATGCTCAGTTTATCAACTACTGCCTCCCTCGTTCACAGCCACTTTTTGGCTTTATTGTGTACACATGTTATTTCCTATTTTATAGTGCGTTGCGGTCTTTTTGTTTGATTTATAAACACAGTATGTTTGAAATATATGATTCGCATATTGGAAGCTGGTATTGTTGTTATGGACTCAAGTGGACGGGTTAGGCGGACATAGGACCAATAAGGACGCTAGGCTGCTCATACCAGTTGAACGTCATTGGTTTGGCACAGTGCTTATTCATTATTATTTATTTGAACACATAAATATTGGTACAAGAGAGCGCCAATATATATATATATGCGCCACACAAAACAATGAGAATTCGAAGAGAAATAGAAAAAAAGCTAAAGAGCGCAAAAAAAGAGAACAATAACGAAGAGATTGGTGTAAGGTAGTATGGTTAAAATGAGGGAACGGAAAGGTACAATCAGAAGAAATCTTTCAGTTAAGGGAGACACAACCACTTTTTATCAAGAAAGTAAAAGAAGGTTACAGCAGGATCGCCACTGGCTTCTATTCTGAGCCATATCTGATAACGTCTCTAGCCACTGTGTAGCACCATCTCTCAGACCCCAACCAGGGAGTCGTGAAGGATCAACAGAAGCCAGTCCTTTGCAGCTTTCTTTCATGCCACGACACTATGTCATGCACTGACCACCTCTCCGTTTCTTCCAACCAGTCCCAGAGTCGGCACCCCTGCTTCGGTTTGGGCACCCGGGCAGTATCACAGCCCACACACAAATGATGAACTCTCTATGTCTATGGCACAGTGCTAAGATTGTATAAGTCGTATTTTGATTGGTGGATAAATCATGTGATAAAAAGCCGGACATAAAGTCATAACTACATTATCATTAAATAACTAAAAATAGATTATAAAAATATATGTACACTGTCACTACTACTACTAAAACTTAGTCTTCAATTTTCAACGGCATAGTAACAATCTAAGTTGGAAATTAACATCTAACTTATAAATTTTTTCCTAAACTAAAAAGATTGTAACGCATATACAGCAAAGGGGGACTGTAACTAGCCTTAATAGATGAATTTCAGAATTATCCAAGAATGGTAGTCTGACATTATATGTTGGATTGATTGATTCTTGAGTCAAAGTTTATAAGTTACATATCATCTCATATAAATGGTTGTTATTAGTCCAATCTACAAGGAAGAAAGAAAATCATCTTGAAAAAAACCCACTTTGAATGCCGTTATTTCAAAATTCTTAACGTCTCTAGTCCTAAAAGTATTAAACTTGAATAATTCAAGATGGTTTCGTGACTTATCTTAGGCCATAAATGTTTTCATCGTAAGGTCCTGGAACATAAACCAAATTTAGTTCAGTTAGCTGCTTTCTACCAGGTAAAGATGCCATTCGAAGTCTGTGATCACAAGGTGTAATGTCCCAGTGTATGTCACCATAACATGTATCGAAAAAATACACAATTTACTGGTAATTGTTTATTCGAAAACTAATTGTTGAATTTGAGCTTACAACATAATATATGAATTAGGTGTGATAAGCAGTATCCATCATGGTTGTTTGCCATACTAATTCTTATTCTGCGTTATGAATATATTCCTGTTGGGGTGATCCAGAAAATTTCTTGCAAAAGACAAGCAAGGATCAGGAAAAACTAAGAAGCATTTCATCCTATCAGCGTTCACTTGAAGTTTTAGCCAGAAACATCAAGGAAGTGAAACGTCACATGTAGAGGTTCTGATTGGCTGGTTACTATACTGCTACTATTTTTAGCAGCACTCCAGAATCTTTGAGCAACTCAAAGACATTTAAAATATTATAAAAACCCTATGTTTTCTGCATTAAAATGAACCTTTGGAGTAAAGTACTTCTCGCATACTTTGCGCCTTCTCTCTCGTGTTCAGGTCGCTGTCTAGTTCTAGCTTGGGGGTTACAGAATAGCTTAGGAAACAAATATAGCGTTCAATTTGCAAGACTTATCAATTCCAAAGGATAAATGTTTCAGAGTATGTTTTTAGAGTATTCACTCTTACCTTGGGACGTTTCCATCACCTTAGAGTGCTTAATGTTCGTAGTTTTTTTGAGAAGACTAAAGAGATGCCGAGTTTCCTGAACACCTTGAATTGTCATAACCCAAGAATGTTTGAGACGCATTTTTTTCTCGACCTAAAATGTTACTTTAGGTTTGATCTGCAGTGATTCCTACCATGATAAGAGAGACTTGAGTAACTGAGCATGTTAATCACCTTACCTACCCAATTAATCAGAGTAGGCCAGTGACTGAAGAAACCTTCAACAAGCGTCCAAAAGACTCTCTTTTGCACTAATCTACAATTTTCTGATGAGGTATGGTTCTCACCTGTGTACTAAGCAATAGTTCGCTTTATGCTACTATACATCCGTATAAAATAACTTCTCTAAGTAGCTAACGAGGTGGCGTTTGAAGCGAAAGGTACTGGGTCCGAGTCCCGGATTGAACATTAACTCTGGGGTGCGGGTACATCCAGCTGACGAGTGTCAGATGAGATGAAACGCGTGTCCTGGATTCAATTGCTAGCCACCATCCATCTTTGCTTATAAATAACAGTTCCAATATGTTTCCATAACATTCCTTTTTTACGAAGAAACAAGTGGTCGGTAAGGTTGAAATGTGCCATGAGGTAAAATATAGTAATGGTAAATCTGTTGATGAGTCTATAGTCTTTCATCGAGTTAGGTGGTTAGAATATGCTCTAAGTATATCTTCATTCTATGTGTCTTTCATGTTATTACGTAGTGGTCAATTTGTTTTATCGGTCAAATCGCCTTTGATATGTTTAGTTTCATTATTATCCCAAAACACTATTTTCACTTAAATGAATAAATTTTTATGTACTGTCTTATTAGTTATTAAATATGTCAGAGTTCATTATAGCAACATAGATACAGTTGAATATTTTCCAATACGATACTTCGGTAATAATATATAGACTTCCAACCTTCTATTTTTGTATCTAAACTCTCTCCGTGTACAACTCTTGTAATCATACAACCAAATAGTTTTATATGTTATCAAATATAATCTAGAATAGAAGTTATTCTCGTTTCATTTGATCTTGGTCTTTAAATTCACAATTAAGCCAAATAAGATAGAATGATTATTGAAAATATCTTATATGGTTGTTCCTCTGATTGATGTTACTTCTAAATCTGTTTTGTATCCTTATAATGCTATAGTATTTTGTATGAGTAGTTGTTATATATTGTTCAAGTTGAACATTGTATGTTTAAATAAGTAAATATATGATACAATAGAGTTTTGAAGATTTTACATTCTATTAACATTCACTGAATTATAATTTCAAACCAATCGATGAAGTATAAGAATAATAATATTGAATAAATCCATTAATAATAATCAAATAGATAAATTAAGAATGACATCGACACATGAATTCAACTATTAGAATTACTATAATCTTCACAAACTTCATTTTGACCATAATCATTATGTGCTTACTAATAACTCGCTTCAAGATGATTTCTTGGAGTTCGATTGAAAAGCCGTGACCAATGAAGTCCAACCCATGTCGAGTAGAGACATGTATCTACCTT